CTTGCGTTTTAGCAAAAAAAATGCACAGCTATATATACATTACGCTTCAGCACATCTTTGATCTATACCTTCTGTTTCAGAAAAAAATGCTCAGCTATATAGCATCCGTTTCAGTTGGCCCTTATCGGTACGCAGGGGTATAAAATATGATGACAAAGTTGGGAAAGCACTTTTGTTGTTACATCGTCGTAGACTAACAGCTGTCAATTATTCATTCCTTCCAGAACAAGCCTTTCTCATTGTCTATAGCGTAAAGGTGTTGTACCATTTATTCCTTTATATAGTTATAGATCTAGAGCTTATAATTTAGCTGCACAAAACATTGGAAATTATTAAACTATATTGATTAAGTCAACGGTAGCACAAGTAAACAAGTTCGAGGGTATACAAGCGTATACTATTTATTGCATGGACAAAGATCTGGTGAAGTATAAACACAAAGCGCGGCCCATTTCTCAGTTAATGTACTTGGAATAATAATTAGCCTGTGGCTTTTTGGCTTTGTCTAGTACATCATCGACAGCCCGTTTATGTTAAAATCTTCTTATTGGTGGTTATAAAAGTTCCAATTTAAAACTGAAGGTTTTTGATTCACTCAAGGGATCGACGCACTTCAAATTTGAGTCAATTTTTGTCAATTCTCATTTCAAACTTGGTAAATATTGATTAACTTTTGTTAATATTATGTTTCTATTACTATTGGAGTGATTTATCGTGTTTTGAAACCGAAACGTATGTATTCACAATAGAGCGTATCGGATGTTGATCACAACATTGTTACATGATGCTCTGGAATTACGTGAATTTCATTATAGTTTAAAGCAAGATTTGACGCGCGCAAGAAGTGACGCATGGCTTATTGAGAGAAAGATTATTAATACTATGAGTAATTTTTGCCGAGCTAAAATTTAACAAACAAAGAAAATTTAGCAAACGCAGAGGCCATTGTCGTTTATGCATGTGCATGTGTAACACTGTGCATGCGTTGACGAATTCCCTGCCCGGTTTGCCAGGCTGAAACTTCGCATGGAATCGAAAATTGCTTGCGATAGTAATATTAATAGGAAAAGGGCTAGTCAGGCAAAGCGGGGTAGCCCGGTCCATGTAATCGAGGCCTTGAATATTAACAACGCTTGCATTAAGTTTCAGAAACTTTCCGCGCGCAATTGTCTAAAAGATATTATTTGTCCAATAAATTTTGTTTTATACACCATTGCTGCCTAAGGTATTATTAGCCTTCTCGGTGATGGGAAAATGTTCGTTGGATTGATTGCTAACCTCAACGAAACGGTTCTTCAGGGTCGCTTAAAGAACATTGGCTATAAAGACGATCTTCGTCTTATTTTAAAGGGACATTCGGTATCATGGCAAAATCTTTTTACAGGTTTGCTTTATCGCTCTTCCTCGATAGAATATTCCGCTCATTTCTAGCAATAATAATGGTACATTCCGCCAAGTTCGTTTGGAAGCGAACGGCCACGGCAAAGGTATATTTTTCCCTTGCGGTCGTCTACAGTTTCTATCGGTCGAGTCGGATCGAGCGCAACCGAACGCACTAATTCCCAAATCACATTATGTATTTTTGAGCATTAATCACATAATTTATTAGCCAAAAAGATCGAAGCTCTGCACCACAATAATCAATCAGATTTAGTATCTCAGTGTAACTATCCAATCAAAATACAGGGCCCCGCAAAATTTCTCGAAAAAATAGATGAAAATTACTCACATTTTACACCGTTTTCAGTTTTTTCAACAAAAAATAGTTTAGAATCGTTTACTTTTTTGTATGATTTCAAAATAAATATAATAAAGTAAAAATTGCACTTCGTGTCGTGCAATTTTAGTGTGAAATCAAACTTGAGTTACAAATCGATTTTGTAATCACGTGTTTGATTTCTTACCAAATTGCACTCCTCTCAGTGCAATTACCATTATTATTCATGATTATTTAAACTACACGATTTACCTGCGTTGCACAAAACGTAGCTTATCGGATAACTATAATCACGTATTTAACTTAGGTGAAGCTTGGGTGGGGTTGTTAATGAAGTACCGTAATATCATTGACCGCTGTTATACATTTTGAACAAGACTGAAGTATTTACAAACATCAACAGTAATTTGATAAAAAATATGGGGAACAAGAACGGCGGCTTGTGGCCACTTTGTTTGTTCTTATCACAAATGATGTCATATGGTGTAGCTATAAATGAACAGACAAGGGTTCAATGTTATATAATTGTTAAATGGAAACACGTTTCCCGACCAATCAGCACGCGCGCATAATAAATATCATATTATAAAATATTTTCTTATGTTGTTTACCGCATTCCACTAGACTTTACTAGAATTTTGTTTCTTGTGTATTCTAGACACGATGAGCACGGCGGTACACCTATTCATCCTCTCGCTTGCCTTTTCTGCAATCTCAGCTCAGCGTACAACCACATACACTCTTAAAGTAACTGAAGATGTGACATTGGAGCGTGCCGGAAGCAATTTCAACTACCTTCAATACTTACTTGTTGGGACTCACCCTGGATTTCCTTTGAAAAGAAGTTTAATGAAGTTCTAGAACATTCCCGGACAGTGTATCGTACCTTTGGAGGCAACTCTTCATCTATATTTCGTGTATGCACACAAAGCAAGCTACCTACGACAACTCCCTGATGTGACCCGACGTATTGTAGCCCACACTGTACTAAAATCATGGTCTGAGTCCCAAGCGACAAGCTCGAGAAGGAATTCTTTTTCGAACTGGGACACGAGATGGCTGAATCTTGGCACAGATGCAGACCCAGTTACACTCTCTTCTACTTTGGTGTCAGCGAATCAAGGTTAGAATTCAAAGGGCGGAAAGACCATGCAGTTTCTTTCGTATGCAGTTTAAAAGTTCGTTTCATTTATCTTATACTTTTATTTCCTTAGGTCGTCAATGGTTTACACTTGACGTGACAAAACAAGTCAGCGATTGGAAATGTTCTGGTTCAAATCATGGATTACTGTTACGAGATACAAGAGAAAATATCCAAGGTCGTGACTTTCGATTTGCAAGTAATGCCTACCGGGATCAGAGCAAACATGCCTATATTACTGTAAAGTGCATGGTTAAATGATGAACAAATTTGCTTAAACTAAATGGTCTAATTACCTTCCTAAATTGTAAACGATGAGTACGAAATAAATCAAACTTTTTTCTGCATTACAAAATTTTGTTAATTGCATTAATTTTTCATTGTTTTCAACATCCATAATATAGTTATATTACAGTGCTCTATATCCTAGTTTTGACCTAGTTTGCATTGTGGTCATGGGAATGACAACGGCTATAGAAAATGCTATCGGAAAATGTTTCGTGTATAATGTTTATATCTCTTTTGCTTTACGTTTTCGGTATACAACGTTTGTAGCATAAAGCCTGAAAAAGGAGGGCATGAAACTATCTGAAACATGGATGAGGGGGTTGCAGTTTTACAATTCTAGTCGAGCAGACATTCAATTTATAACGGTAAAATTTTGAAAATTAACTTAAAATCGATTGAAGAAGATGTATGGAATTGACCATAACGAAAAAGATAACGGATGCACATTTTACCAGAATGCATTGCAGTCGGATGTCGTTTAAAAAATCGAACTGGCGTCTTTTAAAAAACAGGCATAAAACCGGAAGTTATTTTCTTCACTGCATGTGTTAAAATTTCACAGCATTAGGTGTTTTTCTTGCCTCCTTTTTCAGTTAATCATTCTTAATGCCCGCAATGCATTCTGGTAAATAGTACATGCCATCATCTTTTTCGTTACGGTGAATTACGATTATTAAGAGAAACAGCGAAATAAACAAGAAAAAAGATTCGCAGCGCAAAGGATAATGAAGATATTTTGAGCAATGTGAAAAAGAGATCTTTGAAACGGCTAAAACATATAGGATATGGGCCAGCTAGGTAGAGGATATGTGCAGTATCATTCCAAATTTATAAAATAAAAAAGACTTTTGAAATAAAAAAATAATTTTGAATTAAATACACATTAAAACAGTATTGTTGAAAATGATCTCAATGAACGTAGCTACATTCTTTTTCATACTCATGCTTGTTTATAACTTTTCATAAAGAATTTTTAATAAAATTATGTTTCCACTCATTTTTTGTTTAGTTAGAAATATACCTATTTTTTGAAAAAGATTTTTTATCTCCTATAAATGTCATGTTAAAAATCATTAGCTGACGTCACTGTAATCAACAGAAGAGAAAATTAAAAACCAAAACAACTTTTTTTTTCTTTTTCTAAAGAAAAAATAGAATAAATGTCATGTTAATACTACATGTCAACACTAATAACGCTTGTATTATATTTCACAAACTTTCCGGGCACATTTGCCAAGAAGATATTAATTGTGAAGTTTTTTTATACACCCTTGCTGCATGAGGTATTATTAGTCTTGTCGATAATAAGGAAATGTTCCTTGCATTGATTGCTAACTTGAACGAAACGGATCTTCAGGGTTGCTTAAATAAAGAACATTGGTAATAAAAATTAACTTCGTCTTATTTTAAAGAGACATTCAGCATATTGCAAAATCTTTCTATAGATTTGCTTTATTGTTTTTCATTGATACAATATTCTGCTCATTTCTAGCAATAATAATGGTACATTCCGCCATCTTGGATATGCATATATCTTAGGTTATGCATGATGTCACAAGCAGGGAAATTTTTTTATTTTTTTGCGCATTTCTCGTGCCTTGTTAATAATTTTATTACGCTTGCTATAAAAGAGCATTCCATTCGTATTAAAACGATTTGCGAGCGTTTATACTGTATTTCTTTTCCTTGTTTTAACGTCATTTAGTTGTATGACAAGATGGCGGACAACTCGTTAATTCCAGCCTATATATTTCAGGAACTAAGCAAGATATGAAAAATTGAATACTAAACTTAATATATAATTTTCGAATTTTTTTTAAGTAAAACAAAATTATTTTTGTTAAGATTTCGTACTTGATAATGTGGTGTCATATATATGCTCCGCATTTCAGATCATCTTCAACGTAAATTTTTCGAAGTGAGGAATCACAAAGTTTTGTCCGGATAGTTCTTTGCTGACTCTCTTCAACTACGCAACCAGGTAGGCACTGTTTGTACGCCAAATATTTAAAGGAAGGCAAGACATTGTAATGGTCGTCATGGAGTTTATATCTTCTTCGCGCCTTCTTGCAATGATCAGGTTCTCTTCGCAAATTGTTTGGATTTTTGTGATAGTTCATCAAGAAATATCTTTCGGACACTACAAAAAATACGATTTATACACGCCATCACTATTGGAATCCATTTTTCACTGAAATGGTCAGCAGAAAGGGAGAATAGAAAAAAAGCCATTGGTTTTTAATTAGGCAGGCTTTGCTTATAACACGAAGCCTTAAATAATAAGATTTATGGTGCCACAAGCTAACAGCAATTGCCTAAAAGAGCTATTCATGTTAATTTAGATATAAACCCAAAAAATACAAAATCCTAGCCGGGGCCTATTATAAAGAACTTTTAATACTTCACACATTTAAGTATCAAGTACCATAGTAATTAAAACATTGAAATTTTGTGATGATCTTCAGAAAAAAAAACACATTCTTTTTTAGAAATATGTCGTTATCAAAATACCTAGCATAAATAATACGGTTTTATATACATGTTACAACACAGCTAAAGAGGTTTTATATTTCAGGAAGAAATATTTCAACATCTTGCAGCTCCTCCCCACCGGACCATATATCATCTTGATTTCTATGCATAGTGTATATTTGTTCTCATAGGGTTTTGGAAATGATATTTTTGCACACTTTGCTATTAATAATGCAAAAAGTATGCAATACTGCACGTAGAAATAGGCTCTGGATGAGCCTAGCTAGCGTTGGAAAGGGCTTAACTAAATCGACTTTTGAATTGCACGACGTCTTCAAACGGGGACAACTCAAATTGCATTTAAAATATTAACTAGGGAGCAACGTGGCGTCGTCTTCAAACAACATCGCTTCAAATGTAGCGTAACATTTGCGAATAATAGGCAAAATCACTTATCCACTTTTCGACCTATATCAACCTCGTACCTATTAAGAGAAAAATCCTGGGTACGAGGCTGTCAACCAATAAGGGTCTCGGTAAGTTGTTATAGCACATTTGAAGATAATATATTAATCATGCATCATAGTCCTCGTCGAGGGAAAAGTTGTACCGTACCGTATACTATGATATATATATATATATATATATATTCTACTCACCAAGATTGTTTGATGGAGTGTTATAAAGTTTCCTCTCACGGAGCCTTCCGCGTGTACAAGACGTGTGGTTGAATACTATATATTTATAAAACTTATTTATGTGGCTAGGATCCCGTTCGTTATTGGTAAGATCCGGAACCACTATTTCGATTTCTGTCTTCATGTTTGGGACGGGATATTTGTCGTTCCTGCAATGTAACTTGGCTTCTAAGTCGTCACTGATGTTTATGCAGCGGTAAACTTCAATGAAATATGGATATCTAGATTTTGGAGTGGCAAAATCATTATTGTAGATCGAGACGACTTCCTTTTGGGGCTCTGTAAAACAATAAACGATGAAGTATTGTTAGGCGATAAACACTGACACTTTCTTTGTATCATCGTTTGACGTCAAAACCTATGAACACTAAACGGCTGCAATATAATCATATATGCCAGTAATAGTAATTGTATTCCTTAATCCTAAACTAGAAATTATGATTGATTTAACCGAAAATAAACGACGTAAAACTACAATAGTAATATTTCAAGCCTTAAATTTAGATAAATACTGTACTATACATATGTGTTAATAAATCGTTTTCAAAGTGTAGTAAGTTACGTTATTTCAACAACCTGTTGTATAATCGTTGGTTGGTGTCACAGGAACCGAAAAGATAACGAGGACCATCGCTACTATAATTTTTATCCCAGTTTGTTTCCAAGTCCACAACACATTACCTAAATATGATTAAAAGATCAATCTCAAAAAAACCCAAATAAATTAAATAGCGTTGAAATTAATAGCGTTGAAATTATTTTTAATGTTCAGTTTCATAAAGTAGCTACTAGTTAAAATACGAGCGGTTGATAAAATCCCCGCATACAGATCAGCCGCGAGTATTTTAACGTGCTTGTGAAACGAATAGATTAAGCTTAATGCATATAAGCATATTATTTTAGAGCATGTGTGTGAAAAGATTAGTTGTATATCAAAGCTAATAATTATATGAATTACAAATTGATAAGAACTTTATAGAGAATTACATGTATACTTGTGACCAACATGATATAATGTATAACGTTAATTAAGTTGTACAATTAAGATCTAAGCCAATTAATCAAAAGAATGACTAAAGCGTTTACCCATTGCATAATTTTTTAAGCAAAAAAATTGCCATTTAAAATTAATATAATACCAATACAGTTGACGTTCTTTGGCATAAATATGTTTTTGGCCCCCCTCAGAACATATTTTATTTAGTATTCGCTCGGGTTCGGGCTAAATTGAGTTCAGAGTCGAAATCATCAATGAACGGATGTAGAAGAGAAAAATTAAAGTTAAGTTGTATATGTGGAAGGAAAATTGGGAAGGCTTCCGTGAATCATGTTTGTATTCAATCAAATGAGGATTTCTGAGACCAATAACTACCGCTGCAAAAGAAGGTCGAAATAAAGTATAAGGAAATCCAGTGCACTGTCTTTAATCAGAGTTGGAATAGAATTGAATCAGTAGTGCTAACAAAAATGGTTCACATCATGCCAGAAAAAGTCAAAGCTGTTTTGAAACGTGAAAGTGATCATACAAAATATTAGATCAGCGCCAATTTGTGTTAAATCCTAGCTTTGGTTGTATGGACATGTAGTGCTGTCGTATGTGACAGGACTGAGACGTTTGACCCCCACTGTTCATACATACCTCAGCTGAATTAAGCTCTTATAGTTAGATACCTAAAGTGAAAGTTTTTTTATTGGCCGCTTACCAGGAACAGATTTGTGCTACTGTACAGTGGATTATACCTTAAAATACTCTGGCAGAGAGCATCATGCATGAAGGCGGATTTTCTAATCATGAAACAACACCTATATATGATCACCTACGCTGTATATAAACCAACAAATCAATAGATTTGAAGAGTTGGTTTTTGTTGACAACTCGTTTGTTTTTAAAAACATAGGCTTTAAAATTTTAGCTATAGGCCTTGTCTTAGACGTCCTCCTTCTCATGCGCCGAACGCATTTAAAACAGCATTTATAAATAATATTTCATTGTCTGCGCGCTTTTATGAGACCAACAAAGAATTCGTCAATTTCATTTAGCCTGGTTCTCATATTTCACAGACAGTCGGCGACGTATTGTGTGCATGTGGCCGGTGACGAAGCAAATTTATTCAAAATAACAAAGCACTTTATTCATCAATGATCACGAACAATAGCCATCGCCGACTGTCGATGACACCGCGCTTTACTATTTTCCATGTCTTATTTTCCTTGTATCCATATATTTTCTGTCCCCGCGTTCTCTTAATTAAGCACTCTGGCGCCCTTATTGTTCCTTTAAATAGTTAACTTTATATAGTAAATGAAGCTGTTTGTTTCTCAATGAAGTGCCGGCACTGAAGGAATTGATCTCTGCCACGACACGTACCTAGAAAAGTCTATAGTTGGTAACAATAACACTCACCTTGGGAGACAGATGGCATACTTAAAAGCTTCGGACTTTTTGTTGACAATTAAATTTTCTAATACTTGAACGGTGATGCGTTGCTCCCCTTTTCATGAAATTTATACCAGCCGAGTCTAGCTGATACACTATTGTTGAGTCAAGTTTATATACACTTTCCCCAACAAACTTCGTATGTGTACATACACGTGATATTATCCCAACCTCTCAGTCTCAGGAAGTGCATTCCAAGAATAACAGATCAATCGACGTCGCTCTTTTTTCCGACAATAACACATTTGAGTAGACTGCTGTGTCCCACGTTTCCAAGTGGCGAATTGCCAACGTATTAAGTCAATAAAACGTGATGTTTTGATCGTTTAGAAGCACTGTGACTATCGTATTACTGCAGTATGGTGTAGCCAGCGTATTAAATGAGAGCTGTTTACATATTTAAACAAGACGCCTGTTCTGGCGTTAACTTCGGCGTGCCGTGCACGTGGCAGTCTTCAATATCTGAACACAAACAATACAGTTCATACTCATTTAGATGCCTTGCAACCTAAATGTTGTTCGATCGCGAAATTCAGAAGCATATCGTACTTTAAAAGTATCGAAGTTCAATTGTTCTAAAATGTAAATAAACCGCATGAATCCACATGATACGTTCACTTTGTCTAGTTACACATGCAATTGAGTAAGAGGTAAGTAGAAAATGCTCATTGAAACACAAATTTGCAACATAACTGTTTTTTGGGCTATTGGTCTAACATAGTTTGGGCTATTATAATTTAAAAAAAAATATTGTATAGTTTGCAACATATTGCATGTTACGCCAACTGTAACAGTGCGCGTTATTTCTTAACGCAATACATCACATGGCTGCTCACTGGTGTACAACAACACTACAGTGAATTTTAGTGGAAAGGCCACACGCAGACAGCATTTGAGGACATTATTTTCTAAAAATTCGTTATTTTATAAAATAACTTAGCTACTTACTTTTAAAATTCAAGGGTTGCTAAAAATTGTGGCGATATTTTCGTAAACATAAATTATAAGCAGCCTGCAAAGTACAAAGGTGCAAAGTGCAAATTCCTAATCGCCAAATATGGTGGTTACCATAATTAACCCACAGATCTATGTGGATAACTAAAGTGCATGCTTGTGATAATAATATGACAAACGTCGAAGTCTATGTTTGTATATGATAGTGGTTAGTGGAATGAGGAAACAGGAATTTTATTAAGAATGTTCCAGACGTATACGTACAACGGTCGATCCCCTTTGAAGTGGTCGTTGCCATCAGTGGCGTAGCCAGCCTGACAATTTGGTCATGCTATGCAAATCTCAAGTCATAAGAATTATTAAATTCTTCAAAAATTAATTGTTTTCACAGTCAATAGACACAAAAATATTAGCATAGCATGACTAAATTATCAGGCTGGCTAGGTCACTGGTTGCCATGTTACACAATATCCGAAGTCATCTATTTTAAAACGACTGTTTCAAATGGAAACATCTTTCATCAGGCAAAATTGCGCCGACACGACGGAAAATAGTTTTATTATATCATATAACATATTTACATAGGATAAAACAATTCAGTATGAATACTGCCATCAATTTGTGTCCTCTCTACAAATGTAAAATATATACGTACGAAAAATATCTAAAATATTACAAATGTTATTACAAATAATTTAAAGATGAAAAATATCTAGTAGATGATTTTGATAGCCACTTATCATACCAAATGTTCGCTAAGTAGCATTTGGCATATAGACATGGCACATGGCCTCAATTCTTTATACCTCGATCGGCTTCAAATTGAGGTAGCCAAAAAATGATTAATGCTAAGCAAAATAGGCCTCACACAGTAGATTCATGAAACATTAACAGCGTAAAAACAAAGCGCACAAATTAATAACCTTATGTATAAACTTAAAATTGTGTGTCAACCCTGTTGTCTCGAAATTGTGATGTTACACAATGCCGAATGTTTTGATTCGGATTTTGATTTTGATTTTCTTAAACTGCCACTGAGTGGCAAAAAGTATTAATGCTTTTAAAGTCCGTGGGCATTTAAAATTGCTAATAGGTAATTTCGACAGTTTTAGGCAGTGGCGTACGGAAGACGATAATTTGGGAGAGGCACATAATATATTCATATATTCATGTTAACAGACCGTTAAAGACAATGGGTTTGAAAATAAATTTCTTGCACAACATTAATATATGAATATGCGTACGTGCCCCCGTCACCCAATTATCGTCTCCCGTACGTCACTGCACTTAACTGAGGAAGGTTTAAGCTCGTTTTTCACTCATAGGGGAATCTGTTTCGACGACGCGAAGCGATATCTGAAAGCCGGTAATGTTGTTGGTTTGCGATAAAATTCTGCGCGAAAAAGTAGATTCACTTCCTACTTTTTTAATATTTCGCGCGAATAGATTTTCTCTCGCGGAAAACAGGTTTCAGTAAAACCTCAGGAGGCTTAAAGGTTATTCAATCATTCATATTCGTCAAACCATATGCGTTTAGTTCGTATAAACATTTAAACGCTTTTTTTTGACGAATGTGTGATTATACATATGTTTAAAGGTCGGAATAATAATAATAACTAATAATAACAACTGATGACGTTGAATTAACACAATTCAAAAACAAATACCTTCATTCAACTCCTTAGCTTACTCCCTCGCTTCCCATCTTTTTACAAAATAAATAGCTCTTAACGGCTGTATCGTTTTATCATAAATAACATGACTATTTCCAGCCTTAAAGTATCGATTATTGTCATATCCACGTAAAATAAAATGGATAATAGAGATGTTTAAAATTCTATACCAATGAAACTAAATTTTATTTTAGCAAATTAAAACGGTCAGTGCCCATCCGAATAATGTTGTCAACAAAATGATAAAAGAATAAATGCAAACGACTCAAGTTTAGTTAGGAACATTCACAAGTCAGATCTCATGTGGCGATTTGTGTTGATTCATGCGCGCAAACGAAGAGTAAGTTATTGACACGCTGTCGCATGCATATGTAAGGGTCGTATTTTCTTAATTAGGACAATGTCCAGTCGCGTCTGCGTCCGTGACATTGCGGGGGCACGCAAGTATAAATTTCCGGTCGAACCCATTCAACCCTACCCCCCATATGCGTTTCATAATACTGCGAGCGGGCGGGAAAATTAGGGAGCGATCGGCGCGGGCAGCAATGGAAATGCGGGTAGTGCAAAAGGAACGCCTGCTGAGTAATGATTTCAAGATGGCGAAAAGTCAGTTGAAGCTTGCTTAGCGTAGTTAAACAACGCAGTTATTGTGCTTTTCTCTGTTTCGATCATCATGCTTTCAGATTTACTAATTGCTATTATTCATGTTACTATAAATTTGAATAAAATTACTTTAAATTTATATATATATTCACAGTTTACATTAATACATATTAGACGTACCCAGTTCCATTACACGAAACGACGTACATTGATATACTTGAATGGCTTAATTCAATGAAAACTTCACCTTTTGAATAGTTCCTTCTTGTTTGTAGTTGCAAAATGTAAACAAAGGTTTTAAATGTTTTAAAAGAAAACAGAATATGGCGATCAACAATCTGGATAATCAAAGATATAGACTAAACCACGACGCCAAAACTCCCCCCTTCCAAACTTTTTTTGCTGAATTACAATTAACTGAAAGTACAATAAATTCCATTTAGTTCTCAAGAATGCTTGTTTATTACTATACGGACATATATAGGCAACTCGCGTTCATAATTAATACGTTTCAGCGCCTTACGCTCGAAAAGCTAAATAGAATACACTACGCATTTCTCCCTTCTAATAGTACAATTAGGAAATTTGTAGACGGTCCATGTCTAGTTGCCACAACTCTGTAAACTTTTCTAGCAAATAATTTCCTCTCCCTTAATAGACTTCACCATGCACAATGCCTACTTGCACATAGTTCCTCTCCAGCCAATACTAACATAACCACTAGTCTAATCTAGTATACCTTTGGTCTGGCATTACGCCTTCTGCCCTTTTTCAGGCCCATGAAGCTACGGTCAGCTGAGGGAGGTTTCCACTGTAGCGATTTTTGCACGTATGCGACTACACGCACGTGAAAGCTTAAAACCTTCTAAGTTGTTGTATAATGAATATTAGCGATTCAATAACCCTTAACCTTTGGGAGGTTTACCAATTAAAGGTTATACTAAAGCCCGTTTTCCACCGTAAGCGAGTTTATTCGCGTGAGCTTATAAAAAGTTTGAAGCGATTCTACTTTCTCGTCGCAATCAAATTCTTTCGCAAACTCAATCATATGACTGGATTTTAAATAATTATGGCCTAGTGAAAAACGGGCTTAAGGGCTGATTTCCATTGTCGCACACGTAAAGGTTTAAAATCATATGATAGTTATTAAATCAACAATTGAACAGATGGATAGGGTTGGCTTCTGTTGATTATTTGAATTTAGGCTGTGGGGGCTCTTCTGGCATAAAATTAATTAAACCATAGTTCGCAATAACATTGTTGGCTAGAGCTAACATTTATAGAAGTTTTTGTTGGCCATGTGATTGTACAAATGTTCAATGATCATGAAAAATCATGAAAACTAATGACGTCAAAATTTATTTATTTTGCGAAAAGGTGGGAAGCGAGGGAGTAAGCTTGTTTTTGAATTGTGTTATTGAATTGTTTTTATCATAAATAAAATAACCAATACCAGCGTTAAAATATTGCTTTTCCCAATATAAAACGGATAATAATTTCGCACGGTCCCGAGTAAAGTTGTGAACAAAATGAATAGAAAATAATTCCAAACACGACTCAAGTTTAGTTATGAACATTCGCAAGTTAGGCCCCGTCGACAGTTTTCCAGATAAATTTGAAAACAGATAAATATTTATAGGGTTACGGGTTCCGTCCACACTCAATCCGGCGTTTTCGCCCACTGAAAACGTAACGCATAAGTGTAAAAACAATCTCTAGAGTGGATAAATTTGAAAACGTGGCTGAGCGGATACGTGTAGATGGCTTATCCAGATAATTTTGAAAGCGAATTGAAAACGATGACGACGAAGTCCAGTCCAGCACGTACGCTTGATAATAAATGACGAACGAACAAGTTGTAGTTTCGATGCTAATGGGGTATGATGGGGCTTATTTCAAGCCTCGTGGAATATTTCAGCTTCATATTTCCATTCCAAATTATCAAGCAGATTATCAGAAGAAGCGCAGGAATTTAATTCGGCTTCTCTCATTCCCGACTTCAAAACAAGTCATCTTAAAACGCCTCAACGCCTCAAAATAGCTCGCACGCTAGGGGTAAAAGATTGCGGGTACATGTTTTGCTCTAAGGAGCATGCCCAGTAAGCGATGTTAGTGTTTTCAAATCATTTTCACGTTTTCGTGTGCACGCCAAAAACGGTTCAGAAACGACAACGTTTGGATGTAGACTTTTTTGAGAACGGATTTGAAATTTGAAATTTATCCGATATTGTATTAATTTTATTTGGCTCATGCCATGCCATAGCTGAATGGTAAATGTACGTTTAGCTTTAGGTTTTGTTTTTGTAGCTACTTCTCAGCCAGATGGTTTAATGACTTTGACTACTGCCAAGTAGTGAAATATTTCTTTAGATAAATAAGATACCATCTTAATCAAAAGTGGATGCTGCATGCGCTCCCTTATGTTATTAATTTGCAGTACAGATTTGTCTCAAGTGCTAAAAGGTTTTTGCTGTAGATATTTTAATTGCCTGTAATATATGCTATTTTGGCATAAACTAATCCAGAAAACTGAGTGTACAGACGCAGCAATAAATGTATATCGGCTTTAACAAAGTTAGATGCAAGCATGTTATATTCGTAAACGGGGAGAACTCCATTCAGGAGCCATTCCTTAGGAGGTTAGGGTTTTTCTGTTGAAAAAACAGGTTTTATTTGCTCACAATAAAATATGGTAATTATTCATTCTCTTGCACTCTCTCGTTTTGCACGATTTCTTTATTCCTGAGGGTTGATTGAATGTATTTGATGGGAAACCCCAAATTCCTCGCATGTTATGGGTGAATTGAATGGGTGGTCTTTTTTAAGAATTTATTACCGTGGCTGATGAAATTTAGACGTGTTCGTGTATTCATTCATGTTCATTTAAGAGATCCCAGCCCATTATTCTTCGATGAATTAAAACAAATTATCGCTATATAGACTGTTGCCATTTCTCACGTCATGATGCAACTGAGCGAGAAATTCTGTGTGACAATACAATTAAATTTGTACTGTTTTCGTATGAAATATATGAAATGTTTAACGTTCTGGTTTAACAAATTAAATATGGGCATTTTAAGCAATTCTACGCTATTTCAGTGAATCGTGCTCATGACAGAACGTTAATTAAAATGTGCAGGATAATGCTTAATTGTGCTTCCATCAACTGTTTAATTTTATAATTTCGCTTCTAGCCAGTTTCCTGACAATCGTGATTTACAGTACAGTCCAAAAATAACCTAAAAAAACTGTGGTTGACCTATCTATTTTCGACAATCTGGCGAATGAGAAGACATCCGGTTTTTCAATTCAACCAAGAACACACTATATTGTAAGACGTAACATCTTTAATCAGTTTTTTACAATCCTGAAAATTTTCTTATAGAGCGTATATATAATTTCAATACAGATCATAAGCATCCTCGTTTACAATTTTTAAATCGAATTTTGAATAAGTGTTTTCTATTATATCTTTTTAATAATTTTTTTCATCTATTTTTAATAATCTTTTTTTTCAAATATCATGCATATCTACGAATAGTCAATAGTTGTCTTCATTATAGTCAGCAGGAATGAAAATTGAACATCAAGATATTTCCTAAAGGGAAAATGTATATAAATATCCTGTTTGTATACACACTAGTCTCCCTGGTTATTGTCTTCTTTTGTTTTTTATTAAGTAGTTCTCCAAAACTTCTTTATTAACTATTCACACGTCGAGATAGAAGGTGCAAGTTTCATGCAAAAAATTGAAATATTCTTTGCTGGTAGTTTTTATACTGCTACTTTCTGCAACTAAATGATTCAATTAAGCTATAAGATTACGATCATTGAGTTGTCTTATGAAAGTATAGAAGTTCGTTTAAAATGTCTAAACATGGTAAATTTGTAAATTGTAAATAGTATACACATGTAAGCATGTTTAGAAATTTAAGTAAAGTTTGATATGAAGTTTAAAGTATAGTTAAAACGTCAACAACAAAGATTAAAAAGAGTTAAAAGACTAATTCTAAAAAACAATTTCTATAAATAGTTTGTTTGAAAAAATATTCCAGTAAACGCCACGTACAATTCCCTGGTACAAATTAACCAGAAATTATAAAAACTTTTACCGAAGGAAATTACGAAGTGCAAAGTGCAAAGATATCATTATCAGTAGTTCCACACTTTTAAAACAGGGTAATGTTAATTATGAGCTGATTCGAAATTCTAAAAAGACACTGTTTTTCTCATTTTTATCATTCGCCATGCACACTCGCAATGTTTCAGAACCAGTCTCTCATAGCAAACTTGGCACTTTGATTGAGTTCATTGATCTTTCTATTCATATCTGATGAAGTAATTTTTTCCAATGCAAGTCCGTATTGACAGAAAACCATGATAATTATAAAACCTTAATGCATGTAACTGATAGAAAAACTGATAGAATTCCATACCTTTAACAAATCAAATTCCTGAGGCGTTAAGCAAGTGGAGTGCATTCTTTCGACTTTTTGTTGTCGTATTCTTCGCATTTCACATCATTTTTCAGGCGGACTATTTGACTTACTGCATGAACAAGTACCGTATTGATAAATCTCTGCTCACTTTTTTTCACTACACAACCAGGCAGGCACTGCTTGTACACAAAGTATTTATATGGAGGCAGGGCCATAAAATGGTGTGCATGGAGTTTATATCTGATTTGCGCTTTCTTGCAATAATCACTCGTACTTCGCACATTCTTTGGATTCTTCTGATAATTCATCATAAAATAGCTTTCTGAAACTACGAAAAATACGATGTTTTTATTACGTTATGTGCGTTAGAGACATGGCTTTGGGGATGGTCAGCGGCTCACCCTTGAAGCATAGTACGTTTCCTGGTTATTACTGCAGTTTTACATTAATGTGATCAATATCCACGACAGGAGGTCAAGATTGCAATTTGCGACTTCCAGTTCAAGTTTCTTCGAGGGAAACAGCAAACTAATCAACATTGTAATATTCGTATAAATATAACTAAGGAGCAGCTAGCGTGGCAGGGTTTTCAAACAACTTAGCATCAAATGTGGTATAACAACTGCCTAAAACAGACAAAACGCTTCTCGACATTTCGACCTGCATGAGGGCCTTTGTCAGGAGAGGTATTACGAAAATGAATAGGGGATGTTAATTTTCATACTAACTCTCCTGAGGAAGGCCCTCAGGTCGAAACGTCGAGAAGTATTTTGTCTATTTTAGGCAGTTGCTATACCACATTTGATGCTAAGTTATTCGTATGAAAGTTGCAACATTCAGAGGAACGCCACATCCGGTTTGGCTAGAACTTTAATTATTATATAAACTATAATGGTCAATTATAATTCCTACATCATGGTCGAAACCTCACCTATGGTCTATATATAATTTACTCACCAAGGTTGTTAGATGAGGTATTATAAAGTTTCCTCTCACGGAGTTCTCCGCATGTACAAGACGTGTGGTTGAATACTATATATTTATAAAACTTCTTTTTGGTGTCAGGATCCCGTTCGTCATTGGCAACGTCCGGAACCACTATTTCAATTTTTGACATCGTTGCTGGTACAGGATAATGGTAAAGCATGCAGTTGAACGAAAAGGCCCGGAAATAAATTTTACTGCAGCGGTAAACTTCAATGAAATACGGGTATCTGGAAATCGGTGTCGTAAAATTATCATTGTATATTGAGACCACTTCCTTTTGGGCCTCTACAAAATAAAATCAACCCATGACGTATTGGTGTCACGCCCTTCTCCATGCTAGGCCTTTATACCGGGCTTAAAAAAAAGCAATCCAAATTCAACACGCTATTGTACTTGAACTATGAATAGTTTATGAACGAATTTTTTAAACATTCGGAAAGATCATGCAGGCTTTTTACTAACGATTGCTTTGATTTCATATGTAAACGGGACAAAAAATGAGATAAGCAAATACGAGAATGATACAAAGTGTTTGTAAGGCTGGCATTTTTTCACCTCAGCGAGTTCGGCCTGAAACCATTGAAAATAAAGTGCCTATATCACTTGTGGGATCTTTACGGATTTGAATAGAGCATGAAAAATTAGTTTATAAGTTCTACAACCTTTTTTGATATAATTAGATAGTTTCGAAAATACGTCAGTTGGGGGGACTGGGACTCAGGAATGATTTGCAAACACGCCGTCTTTTATAATGTAAACATGAAGAGTTTCACTGGCGATATAGTTTGCGCCTTTCAAGAAAAAAATGCGGGAACGGTGCGTTGTGTATGGCTGTAGCAATTGGGCGAGTTTTTCTCAAAATATTTTACGTTATTGGAAGATCGAAGTAAAATTACAATTGTTATATTATGTTTGACAAGAACTCAGCTCCTGAGTCCCAGGCCCCCGAGCACGACGGAAATTTAAGCAAATCGTCATGCCTAGATGTAAATATTTCCGAAACTATTTAATTATATCAAAAGAGTTGTAGAACTTATAAACTAATTATTCAAGCTCTATTCAAATCCGTAAAGATCCCACAAGTACTAGTGATATAGGCACTTTAACTCCCTTTTTAATTAAGGGATGAATTTCGCAATCAATGACGTACGTGTTTTGAAAATATGCAAATCTGACAAACTACATTTGGCATTGAAAACATGTCATTCAAAAAGGTCAAGTTACTTCAACAACCTGATGTATATATCCTCCTTGATGTCACAGGAACCATGAAGATAATGAGGACCACAATAATCTTCATCGCAATATGCTTCCATGACGTCATTGTTTCATTACCTAAATATGATGTAAAAAATCTTAACCGAAAATCTGCTTTTCATTCCGATGAATTGAAATAAAGAACATCCTTAGCCGTTATGACGAAAAATCGTAAACAGCGTGCTCGACACATAGCTCATGTAGTAGGACGCAACGAACACCCGATCGCATATTTCAAGCTAAATGTGCTAAAAAAGTACTGATACTAGAAATACATTCATGAAGCAACCCCTAATTTAAACCATATTTGCTTATTGCCCGTAGCTAATTTTAAGAATTTTTTATTACTACACGAATTTTTTATTACTACACATCATCACAATAGTAATATAGTTGACAGTGGCGTAGCCAGCCCGACAATTTAGTCATGCTATGCTAAAATTTTGGTGATCATTGACTGTGAAAACAATGAATTTTTAAAGAAATGAATAATGATAATTAAAATAAAATTTGCATAGCATGACTAGCATGAATCGTCAGGCTGGCTACGCCACTGATAGTGGAGAGAAAGGGCATGATAAAAATGGTCTTTGGTAATTTAAAGATTGGGGAATTCTAGGGTGTCTGCATGCAGGGCCTATCGCAAAAAAATTCCATATTTTTGAGTCCCTATGACTTGATTTACAGCATTTTTCGGGACAATTACTTATGAATGCATCTCGAGAGAGTGAGTTGTGTTGAGAAAATACCATTCATCACTGCACGTTTCTTATTGATTTCTTATGACTCCTCATTCTACTTTTATCACTGCACAAATTTGTTTATTAATTTTGTTATTGTAGTATGAAACGCTTATGGAGTAATGGAGGATATATTTGTAAGTAACATAAAATGCTCAATATTAATCAACTTTGAAAACAAACAATCAATTTTCAAAACTGCCGTATCTGTAAAAACCTCGGGCCGGTTGTTCGAAAGGCGTTTAGTTTAAGCGGTGGATAAGCCAAAGTTTAAAAATACTCTCATACCTCTTGTGAACGACTGAGCCGACATCTTTTGCATTAAATATGCACTTCCATTGAAAATTAAACTATTTACATCGAAATTTTTCAGTTTAGTAGTTATTCAATAAATAAATCATTTTGTTTTCAATTTTGAACTTTTCCACTGTTTAAGCTAAATGGGCTTGATACAACCGGTCCCATAATCTAATTCATGTAATTATATTACATAATTGTATCATACTAATTCGAGCGTTTTTTCAGTTATGCGCATGCGCGACTAACGACTGGTAATCAACAACGTTCTGACTCACTAAGACTACTGACCTATATTAGAGCATAGTGATTTAAAAGGGTACGTGCATGCACTTTTTATTTCGTATAATTTTGCTTCGCGATAAGAGGATGCAGTTTATTTGTGTAATTTTCAGCCTTGTATGTCATTTTTGCAAAGGCATATAAACCAACTGTGAAAGACTATTAAACCTTTGCTTTAACTTCAAAAGTGTTTTTGAAAGCGTAATTTGAATTTTGATATGACAAATATCACTACAAACTAAACTAGGAATCCAAGGATAGTGCAAATTTTCCATGCCCTGTAATACCTAAGCAACCAGACGCTTCTCCAAACATATAAACACTTTGACTTAAGCTAGTAAAAATATAAGGAACTAGGTTAAACATTAATCAACAGGAAATTACTCAAAGTACTCAAGTTCCGTTAGTCGCGGATATCATGTCACAATTAAATTAAAATTTTAGTTGCCCATGTAAACCGGGCGCGATTTTCTCAGTTTAGTCTCTTTCCTTCGTCAAACAACTGTGACTATATTCACTACATTTATATCATGGCAACAATTTATCCGTCATTTCAAAAGAATAGCCAAAATAGTTGCGTTGTAAATGTAAATAAACCGCAGTGCATATTATGTCTAAGATGTGGATACTTCGACGCGTAAATCGATACAAAACAATATACTTATGTCTCATTAACAAATAGATTACAATGAACCGTTGTCTGTTGAGTTATAGATACATGGTATGACGTCATATGTGATAAGAACAAAAAAAGTGGCCACGAGCCGCCGGGGCGAGTGAAAAAAAATCCAAAATTAATTGAATTATTTGTTTGCAATTTAAAAACAAGAAAATTGCTGTGACGTCATTCCGTGCGTCTGTCCTCTTATAGATCATGGCTCTCGACCAATGAAATTGCTTGAATTCTTTACGTTATTATATAATAATCAATACTGTATACCGCCAAAATGATTTGATTACAACAAAAATTTTCGTTTTGTATGGTATCAATTATGTACTGTATGCAGAATATCAGGAATCGACTTGCTATCGAGATAATAATTATGTATTCGTGTAAAGCCGGTTTTCCACTAGCGATATCTTTCGCGCGAAGTGACTTTATTCCTTTGTATTTGAGCAATTTGTTCCAGATGGTTGCAGTTGAGAGCTCTGAAACAAAAGTAAAATGTCGCTTCGCGCAAAAAATATTGTTAGTGGAAAACCGGCTTAAGAGATCTATCAATAAATTAACAACACAGCGTCGTTTCTTCCTAACCTCTTAGCTTTATTTATGGAATAAACCTTCCAAATTATATTTGTTTCGAATTGAATGCTCGTAATTCATAACATAAATAAGTTGATAAATTGCGTAGATTCTCAACGAATTACTTGATTTTTACGCCCGGAATGTTTCAAGCAACACTCGTCGCTCCTCGTTTCTTTCAATCGTGAATATTTATCAGTTGTGACGTTTGGAAAAATCGGATGTTCCGGGGGTTAAACCCCTTTAAAACAAAACCCAAACGACGAAATAGCAATGCTTCAAAATTTACAGTAACGGTCAAAATTCCTCAATATTTTGGTGAACTTAGCAAAAGGGGATAGTGCATTAATGAATAAAGCAAGTTATAAACTGATTTAAAAACTTTAAATTGCTGATTATATGTACAAAAAGTCACTATAGGCATGAAATAATTTACCCCCCGGAAAGTTTACACTATGACTTACTGACTGACTGACTGACTGACTGACTGAATGACTGACTAGCGTTATAAATATTTTTGTACCATATTAGCCATACTATACTGAATGAAGATAAAGATATACTATATAGTGAAGACTTTTTTGAGGCATGATCGTTTCATGATATAGGTTTAGGTCCGGTTAGCTTAGGAAATACACACTTTGTTTGAAATAGCGAGGGGTTCCAGCATGATTTATTTCTAGTATTGTAATTAATTATTTATTGGGTATGAATACAAATTTAACAACATCAATTACAATATTAAAACAAAACGAACAAAAAAAAAAAAAAAAAATCATCCCAAATGGACAAGGTGCGAACGAGATGTTTATAATAAAAAAACTACCCATGCAAGGCACCTCTCCGAAAATATACATGATAACAGAGTGAGAATATTCATACAAACAACAGGACAAGTTTAACAAAATACAAAACAATAAATCACAATACACATACAAAACGTAATACAGTCAATTTTTATGACATGGACATTCACGTGACATAGACCAGGTGCATAACAAATTAACATCAAAAACGGAACATGTTAACTTAGAGTAATGATCATAAAGATTGTATTATATTATACTAGAAATACATGCATGCAGCAACCCCTCGCCTTGGTTAAACGAAATTAGTTAATGATCGTTAGAAATTTTCTGTGGTTTGGGGGTATTGGAGGGTACATGGTATCTAATGGTATGTAAGAAATAGAAATTGAGAAAAGTATGGAAATATTTTTCTGCACGTGGAAACACTGTAGTCATAGCAACTCGCAAGGGCCGTATATTTTTAAAGAATCAAAGTTTACCCTCATATTTTTGTAAAAAAAATGGCAAAAATACGACAAGATTCCTACCTTTTTCTGGAAGTTAAGTTACTCATCTATTATCAGTGTTATGGTAAATTATTTTAATTATTAAATGCCATGAAATATAACATCAGACGTATCATAAAACGCTTCAACTGGTTTTTGTACGGGAATGTTTTGATTTTGTTTTCTTTTTGTCATTATGAAAACGGAGTTTATAAATAAAATTATAATGTCGTTTATCACAAAACACATTGAGATTTATAGTGAAAAATTTGAGTATATTAAAGTTGTGTTTGCCACAAAAGAATTACTTTTCAAAGCTGTGCCGGTCTGCGGGATGAAATATTATCAAGTGTAAAATATTCCGAGTTCATTATACACGGTGAATTTGGTCGAAAATTAGATCTTGTTATTTGTTAAATCGTGAAAAGTCCTGACATCATTCGAGTTTCCCTCTAATTTAGTAAAAATACATATATTCCATATATATAAAAATATAAATTTGTAAATTTCATCAAAATTTTGCTAAATGACAGTTATTCATTGACGTTTGAAAATACAAATTTTTGTCTCGACCAATCAAGAGCCTAGTAGTTCACACTGGCGCATGCGTAAAACGTAGAAGACCGTCCATGGCGTGAGGTCCATTGCATAATGGCGGATGACTTTCATTTCGCATTTGCATATCGTGGGTATAAATATCCGAGCGGAATTAGTACCCTCGCACGGTGCTCCGCACCGGCTCGGGAATAAATCATTTGGATGTTTACAGTTTGAAATCATATTCTTCCAGGCGCTATCTTTGTCAAAACTACCCCAAGCACCCCCGCGCGATCGCCTTTTTTCAGCTGAACTGTATAAAATAACTGAATGTAACGTTATTTTTTCACTACCACAGTGCCTGGGTACGAGTCTAAAATTGTTGATCACCAGTCTTGTAATTGCAAAAAGGTGGAACGTCGAACGTCTACCGTCCATGAGATAGAATTTGGATGGCTTCGGGTTCACAATTTTCGTCATAATACCTGGGTGTAATTTCTAATCTCCGGGTGGAATTAGTAGTGCCTAGGCGTGAATTTGGGTAGCTCGGTATTCTCACACAGATAAAGTTTGAGTTCTCTCTCTATTTCAACTCTTGTTAAAATCACCAAACTGCTAAGCGAAAATAGAATTTTATTCCGAACGTGAATACAACATTCGTATTATATGCAGGCCGAGAAATGACTAGAACTACAGCTCGGAGATTTGAAACTACGTTGAAAGTTCTCTGAACGACTTAGTTTAATAAGAGCGGATTTACCTGCATTTCTGCGCTTTTGCGTGAATATATGTATATACTACATGTACACGCGCGTAAAAGTGCAAAATTAATTGAAGGACAATGAATACACACTTTCTTTGTGCCAAATCACACCTCTAATATCATGCAGTTTTTTCGTATATGAACGGCTAGTGACTAATGCACAATACCAGCTATATCTTTGACTAGACGAGCGCGACTGAATTAGCTATATTATGCACTTTATAATGAGAAGTATGAATTAAGCATACGTTTTTCGATAATAGACATTAAGATCAGGGCTGCACATGCTATGATTTATAATTTACTGGACAGGATAGAGCGGAGAGTTTGAAGTGCACATAAATACGCTATAAAATATCTAAATAGCATAGTATAGTTTAATTTGTAACAATAACACTCACCTTGCATGAGAGACAGAACGCAAAAGCTTCGAAATTTTCGTTGAATTTAAATCACGATATTACCCACCCAACATGAACAGATAATAGATAGCGTTCGAGAATTTTTTTTCTAGCAATAAATACTAACACACCAGTTTTGATTTCGCACGTTTCGGAGAAAGGAACTACTTATCAATGTAATGATACGAATTAATTACAACGACGTGACTTTCATTAAATCATGCGGTGATTTCAGTTGACTCGCCCAATCTAAGAGGGAAGTAGCTAATCGACGTATTATAAGAGTAAAATAATAATGCATGGGCTCTCGGATTTCTTAAAAGTAATATCTGTCACGTCTGCGCGTCGTCGGTTATGCTAATAATGAGTTTAAGATTCACCAAATCTACGACACGCGGACGGGAAGTAATACTGCTCTAATTCCACAGTTTCCCAACAGGGATGGAAATTATAGACTCCTTTTGATAAACAAAGCCAGAGCCGTATTGAAAACAAATTATTACTGCTTTCCCGACACTGGTAGCAATATCATGTCACGTCCCCGTCGTAGATTTGGTGCATCTTAAACTCGCTATTAATAACAATGTGGGACCACTGACATCAATGACGCACGCTGATACTCCCGCCGTTTGTCATTGCGTAGTCACATCACGTAGTACGCTGTTATTCCTCGCTATATTTCATCGCGCCAATGGCGAGTAATCTGTGCCGCTAATACTCCTCGCCATGTATTTTATCTTGCGACAAAACAACGACCGGATGAGATAAAATCACCCACACTGAGCCTTACAAAAAAATATGAGCACGTATAATGCACGATACTCTTGAAGAGGCCAGGGAATGAATTTTTCATAATTTCATTAGTGTTTGGTCTTACTATGTGAATTTGAAATTAGTGAATTTAAAAATTCTGACTTTGAACTAATACTGCATGGAGGCAATCCATTCCATTCAAGCTCCTTATGGGAAGGCTGTACGTCCTTGAGGCAAAATACATTATGGAATAAATAATAAATGAGCGTCGGAGGAAGCGAAGGTTGTCCAATAACGTCGTTAAATACAATAGATACGACCCGTACGACTCGCAAAATTGGTCAAATTGAATGTTAAAATCTGTGAGATTTAAAAGAGCGACGTAATTCGATTGTATTTATATTTGTTGAGTTGTGCGTAGCTTAACTGGAGGAGCCAACTTGGGGGCTAGGAGTCTATATTTTAAAGATATTTTATACGATCTGTTTTTTCGCAGACAAATACTGTTTGAAGGATATTCCTTCGAGGAGGTTTACTGGGCGCTAGTTTTTTTATTATGTGTTTATAAAACAATCGCATGATGATCGTACCAGGTAGAGGAACATGAAACGCAGCGTAGCGAAATAAGACTTTAAGATGGCAACTGAATTGCGGGGAAATAATTGATTTTATTTAATTTCTATACGACTATATATTCTACAGTTAGGCTACCGTTTCTGTCTGCTATGACTATATTCACTGTATCATGTTTCAGAGGTCGAGGGCCATACTGAAAAACAAATTTATTGTTTCATATTATTTCGGAAACATTGTGAGTATTATTCAGGAATTTGACAATCCGGCTACATTGTTTTTAAATATATTAATTTTTCAAAATTATTACTCTGTGTATATTTGTCATGGACAATAATATGTCAGGCATGGAATGAGATTCAATAAAGAAACGTATTTAAGCGAACTAATCCAAGGCCGAGTGATAAAATATATTTTAGTGGGAAATACAAGTTAAAGCTTTTAAATACAAATTAATAATTTTCAACGTCTTCGAAGTAATTACGGTTATTAGCTACATGCAAGTTGCTTTGAATCGCTCAATATATTTTTTCGGGAATTGGGATTTGGGATATTTTCAAATTATTTTAGTTTAAATGACGTGCTATACTTTATCACTTTATTGATTCCAATCTCTTTCTAATTTTTCAAAATAATATACATTGCATCTTACTTGTGATGAGTATCAACACAGATATTGTATTAATGAAATATGCTACAGTCGCTAAAATTAAAACTTTTCGTATAAGTTGATTATAATCAAAGTCCTATGTATACTCTATGGTAATTAACTGTTACATCTTGTTTAGGGTGATCGATGCATCTAACATGCTGTTTCCCATGGCTCTACCAAGCACTATTATATTACTGAATCTTGTCTCAATGAACTGCTAAGTGAAATGTATTATATACCTACATTAAAATATGCATGTAATGGCGGGCATTTTAAATAGGAGTATTTTACACCTGATACCTTATACCAAATACCTGAATTAAATACTTAAATATATTATACCCCAAATTCACATTGTCCAATGAGAAAGCTAGATTTCTGCCACGTGATCATGAAACCGGTAAATATCAATTCGCGAAAAAACGGGTGGCAGACACGCGAGCCTCTGTGTATGAAGCAAATGGCGGAATAGTGTATAGTTGTTTGTTTGAAATCAAGAAATTAACGATTTTGATGAGAAAATTAGACGTATTCTGTACGAAACACACTGAAAAATAGAAATATAGCTGATATACTTTTCTGAACCTTTGTACTGTATTTTTGGCTATTCTACAAGCTCACAATATTTTTTCGGTATAATATATCATTTATATATATATAAACCTTCCGCTCGGGGGATTTTACAAAGTATTTCCCTGAGAAATATTTACATGTAGTGTAATGAAACTTAATTTATGATATGGAAAGCCAACCCTGAGACATTAATTTTACGTTATTGCATAGCGTCTATCAATAGCAGCTATCTATCTTGAGGAACAACGTTGTCATGCATGCCTGCTGCAAGATCAGGTGCATCAAGCCGTGAAGAAGCCGAATTATATGGATTTGAATGTAAGAAAAAAAAAATCAAGGCAAAAAATGTAGCGCCTCTGAAATTTCATATGCATATCTATCATAAAAAGCTCTTATATATTAGGACAAGTATCTGCATGGAGTACCATAACCTTTTCATTTAGGGCACTCAGGGATCTAGGCCCTAAGGGTAGTCAAAATATATTACACAGTTGAATTTTAAATTTAAAACACCGTAATTACAACGGCATTGGTTATAGATTTCAAAAGAATATTTTTATAACGGTAATTTCACTGAGTGGAGTGCAATTTTGTGTGAAATCAAACCCGTGATAACAAGTTAAGGTGCCTTGATACAGTTTTCAAAAATTCCACTGTTTATCACTTTGACACGTTCAAAGAACGCATTTTTATGGTTTATTCCTGAGATATTAGGGTTTTTATATATTTTGATGTCTCTACCTTTGAATCGTATTAGTTTTAGTAACAGATCGTCTGTTGCTATGGCGACATACGTGTAGAAAATTCACTCCAAAATGACCAATTGCCTCGGATAGTTGGAAAAGAAGCACGGTGACCCCCAATTTTTTTTCGTGCATTATTTTACTTAAGAAAAGAACTAACAATTAGCAAAATATAAAAAAATTCTATAAGGCCACATTTTTTAAAAATGCAAAAATGACATTTTTTCGATAATTTTTTTTGAAATTATAGAATATTTTTATATTTTTCTAATTGTTAGTTTTTCTTCCTAAAAGGTAAAAATCGATTACAAAAACCTTGAATCAAAAAACTGGTGGAAAAAGGGCAGTTCAAAAAAACTGAGTTGATTGCTTTGAGATTTCGTTTATTTCAATTAAGTACAAATTTGAATCAAAAGAAAACTACCATTAGCAAGAATAAGTCTAAGAGTTATATTCCAATCACGCTATTTTAATCTTTTCTGGGAAATTATCCTCCATTACTGCAATAATTGTATATTTGCTGCGGCATGCTTATAAACAACGTTGACAAACGTAATGAAGATCGCTCCTGTTACATGGCACATCATTCCATCCCCCTTTTTTTGAAAAATGGGGTAGGTTTCGCAATTCGACGCAGTTTTCCTGCCCACCTACGTTGTTTGGCTCCATGTATTCCCAGTTGTGGTAAAATATCTCATCACCACCCACTTCGTAGAACTTTCTTTCATATTTCCTATAAACGCCAATCCATACTGATTCAATGTTACGTTGCTGGATGGCATGTAGGACAATACCATTCATTTCGGAGTTGGTTGGAACCGTCAAATGGCCGCCACGTTCACGACAGTCATCTCGTGCACTATTCCATGAAGACGCAGTGTCATTGCTAATGTAAAAGCAAAGGCCGTCGATTTTTTTCCAGTCCTCAGGACATTCAGTAGCTGAAAGAATAGAAATATGCTAACTTATATCCATGATCTGACAATATATAAATAATTTATGAAAATTCATTGAACAAGCGTTTTGATAAATCTGATAGAAGCGCTCTAAAATAAGTCGTTATGATAACAAGAAGCTAGATTAAAATAGCCTTATTGAACCTATTTTTAGAAGTTAAATCTGGTAAACTTGTTTGACATTACCTATTAGAATTCAGTAGACTTATTTTTAGGGGGTTATGATAACCTTTCTTAATTTTTAAAAGCTATTTAAACATCCCATAAATGTACGTTGCAACATCGACGCATAGGAAATTTTAACCTTAGCAACAATTTTTACAGTTTATAACAATGTCCGTTTTAAAGGCCCGTTTTCCTAGGAAACTTCGCCATTACCAGGCAATGCACCCAAAAACCCAAAATCGACTTTTGGTGGCAAAAAGTTCTGGAACAGAACTTACAAAATTACTATTTCGTGCAATTTAGGGTTTAAACTAGCTAGCATTATCAATAGACCTATATTAAGAAATTAGGGTGAAACTGATTGAATAATTCAGGACTAATTCAATATCATTCTACCTTTGAAGAAAATCAAGCGAAATGACTACATTAAGTACATTTGAATATCATAGTCACAAATACCTGTACAAGATTGTCCACCGTTGGAAGATGTATAGCCTGATTCACATTGGCAGGTGTAGGAACCATTGATATTTGTACAGTAACTGTGAGAACCACAAGGTGTCAATGGACATCCTTCTGCAATTGTACCGAATATGACATATAATATTTTGTATGTAAATTCTATAATTTTATTATTAACTCGTTTCAAGGAATGTATAATCACGGTTTATAATAGGACTAGAACAGTACCCATGCATGTGTATCGGATTTTGGATGATTTGAATGTTTATTTACATACATTCAGATCTCAGACATAAAATTAGTATAGCTATAGCTATTTTTTTTCTTTATTAGCCCTGCAGCGCCGAATAGGCGTCTTGGTAATGAACGAAACCTTAAAATTAGGACGTAATTGTAGAAAATGATGCCCAAACAAAGATTTAACCTTCTATTTTCTTCGCTAACTGAGCAATCGATTGTTTTGGTCAAGTCATATACATTTGTTTGAAGCTGCAAATGCTATAAGTGAGGCATAAAAGCTAAACAGGCTTACTTCTTTCCTTTCCATGGCAGTCATTTTCAGTGATGTTGTACAAAATTTTCCCTTGGCTATCTAAAAAAGATTAGTACATTTGGTCAACATACCAGAATTTCAATAAAGAATATAACTTCGAACTCAGCAGATTGCGGATCCTCCGAAAGGTACGAAATACGTTTCAAACATGCGCAGGAAAAATATTAAAAACGCAAACTGGGATATTTTGAGAATTTCTCACTTAGTAATTCTATTGTTCAGGGTCGCACAGAGTTTCTTTTTCATTACGGGCCCAAGGACGGCAGAATATCTTTAGGTGGGGCCGTGGGAGCTAATATTCATACATTCACGTTCAGCATTAGTATAGTAATATAAATTATAGCATTAACGGAACTATTACTCCCCATAAACTGAGCGGTATACTTGAAATAATCAATGCTTTAAATTTATTCCTGCAAACCTTAGGGTGCGGGGCTAATTTTTTATTTTGCCCACACAATTTGGGCAGCCCTGCTATTGTTATGGATATATGAACGAAATTGGAATAGGTTAGTTCAACTATATTTTTCTCATAACCTATTGCACAGACGAATCAAACCTTTTCCGAATAAGTTATTGATATTTGTCGGTGGAAATATGATAATTATATGCGGTCATACTCGTTACAATGAATAACTTGATGGTTAATAATGATCAAGTATTATTATAATCTTTTTGCTGATACCTGGATCGTAATAATCATAAACACTGACAACTCCCGGTTGGGCGTTCTTCACCACAGTACTCTGTATTATATCCAGCGAGAAAATCATAGCCTTTATCTGGAAGGAATAATCAATAACCAATAATTCTCTATCGATTATTTGCTGTGTTGAATAACGACCAGGACAAAATGAAACTAATCTGTGATGATCCCGGAGCAAAGTATAGCTTTCTTGTAATTATACAAGTTAGTTTTACATTTCACTCACTCTTTCAACGGCTTAAGCAAATTAACTTTTAGAAAAAAATTTAGATTCTTGTCTTATTTTCCGTACAGTATGTTTAAAAAATATACTTCAACTTCTGACAAAAATACTTCTACCATTTTGAAAAAAAACGAGGTATGACAAGTCCATGCCAAGAATTTTTGGTGATCACTTTGGTATATAATGCTATTGTATAGTAATGGCGTTAATAAATGTTTTTCAAATAAAGTTCTATGATAACAGTTCACACCCTATAATACTCCGAAAAAAAAGATTATATGGAACTATAATTATTGCGACGTGCACTTTCTAGAAATTTGGCAAAAAGCTTGGTCTATCTTTTTGTTATTTCTTTATCTTTACGGAAATGGTTATAATAATTTTAGCCGATTTCGACGAAGCGGCCGTACAACTTGTAAAGCTGTCAGAATGCGCTTAGCATTGGAAAGTGATATAATTTACAGTAGTTACCTTGTTAAAATAAAGGATAACACGTTGTCCATCAATTTCGTATCTTTTTAAGTGTGTTTCATCATTGTTTGAACGAGTTGAGCATGAAGCAACATTTTTTGAGTGTCTTAATTTCTAAGAAATGATTACATTGTTTTGTTAGTATAGGGATAACGCCAATTGTGGAGAACAATGTCACAAGACCGGGAAAATTGTCACATTAAATAAAATTTATGGGCGAATAAGAGGGAGGGATGAATTGCAGCGGATAGACAATTGTCTTAAGATATAGGTAGTAGAAAACCAGTCTTACAGTTGTATAGGTTTCATACAAAATTTAACCTAGGTATAAAGAGTCGGTAGCACATTTTCCTATTTCTTAATTTATGGCAGAGATGCATATGAATGATAGGCTCTCCTTAATAATAAAATAGATGAGTGCTATATTTACACGGTTTTAAATTCCAGAGAATAATTGGGCAAGATAAGGACGACATAAGGAGAATTAATTTTGATAAACCTAAGATAAATTTGAAAAGGCTATAGGCATGCAGTGAAACGTCACGACACGTTGCCCGGGACAATAAGAGGCAAATAATACAAACAGTTTTCCAACAAAGAGAATCTATAGTCTATAAACATACGGAATCAGTTTTTTTACCAGGAGAATCAGATAAACGATACAGCACTTATGAATTAAAATACCGATTCAAAATGTATATGTCACAAAAAATAATTCATTGCTCACCAATTCCAGAGACATTTTGTTCACGGTAAATCCAGACACAAGTTTAACATCCACTATTGCCATATTGGAAACATCTTTTTTGAGCCATCTAAGTCAATATTTGTAAAGTCCATTACATGATTTTGTACAAGTGTAATTTATGCACGTGTTCTTTTTAGAAAACGTGGGTACAGGCCACTCAGTTATTTTGTCCAGTTGCGAGCTAGTAACAACGCAGTCCATAACATTATGACCTATATAGTTTGCGAGGCTGTTAAAGTATTTCCCCTTAGCTCACACAATTACTAAATTCTATCAAAATATTATACCTCTTTCTGTGTGGTGGTAACATGTATATAAATCCCTATTATCTATATATTATCTATTTCGCAATGTTTCAACCACGATACTTAAGCGATATTTAACAATTTAACTGATTTGAAAATTCCTTTGAATAGCGCAGGTTTAGAGATCGTAAATTTTAATGTTTATAATTATTGAAACTCAGTAAAACTCAGCCAAGCTACATAAAAAAATTAATTATTCAATGTAATGAGAAAGAGTGCGAGTGACGGTTAGACGGTATTGGCGGACTCACTTTGCTTCAATTTGCAGTCGCAATGGATGACATGAGGTAGTTTCTTCTTCCTCTCTTGCATCGCGACGATGAACGGAAGTCTTAAGATCAAACGCCGACGGTGTTTCAATAGCAGGTACATTGTATTTCACCGATACCTAAAACATTGGATTATAAACACCAGATATAACGTTCGAATACTGCAATGCCTTCTTTCCTTAATTCCTGGGTAGATTTGGTTAAAATTTCCCTACTGTAAATTCTTTGCCTTATTATTAGCATACTGAAATTACTGGATGCTGAACGCTGGAAAGATTTCATTAACTGTACTGCAGTACAATCATGGATAGTTAAAAGACTGGTTTTATTATCCATGGTACAATTAATGATTATACATTGTCAAATTACAGGTGATAGCATTTGAAATTTTATATTTATGAATACTGAAATCTAACATTTGAGAAAATTGAAACGGTGATTACAACACTGAGCCATTTGATGCAAGTATAATCTTTATGCAATTTTTGTAGTCTATAGTTAATATTTATTCTATAGATGTACTCAGTTTTATTCCTTTGCTGACGAAATACGTAAAAACGTTAAATTTTTTCATATATGCCGGTGTTTTCACTGAATTTTTCAAGTTAATAATTATATACATAATCTAGCCGGAAAAGGTTAGCTTGACGCCGGATATATCTATTTACCTGCACAAAAGCACATCCCGAACCAGATGCATTTAATGTCAGAGTATTTGGCAGGAGTTTTCTTGGAATTTTCGACCGTTGTAATATCAACCTGTTATTGTCAGTGATGACAAATTCTTGCGAGAATCTATTGTTTATAATCGCGGATATGGTCAGGTTCATCAGCGTGTTTCCCCAATAATATATTTCAGCAACTTCAGAGAGAGCCTGAAGTGCTACACAAGTATCCTAAAGCAAGGAAGTATACCTTTGTTAAGAACAATTCTAAAATAATATATGACATATTAGAAAAAACAAATCGATAACTTTTTCCTCTTCGGAAAACCGATACTTATCAGAATCTCGTATCGTAACGTATCGTACTTACTTGTGTGGAAGAAAATCCACCCCGATGATTGCGTTGCTTTGATAACCACTTGACAATCTTGGTTACGTCTTCACTGTGTTCTTTGTGGTGGAGGTAGGACAATAAAGCATATCCAGTGGTTTCTACGTCAGCGGCAACTGAACTGAATGTACCTCTATCAGAGGCACCAGAACCTGTGCTTTTTGCTGACCAGTAGAGTTGTCCGCCTTAAATCACAAAAATATCTTCAAATATTACTATTATCATAACCGAATTAACTTTTTAACATCAGCATGTTTGGTGTTAAGCACATGTTCAAATGGTATTTAAAGATTGAAGTGATTGGTTCTTGACCTAACGTAACTTTGTACAGTATACTCTCCAGAAATAACCTAATACTGCGGTAACGGTTCCGTTGCGGTTAGGTTGCGATTCGGTCCGGTCCGGTCCGGTCGCGGTTCATGCAGTCGCAGTTGACCAATAGAAACCGCAGACGACCGCAAGGGAAAAAAATACCTTCGCAGTGTCCTCTCGCTTCTGAACGAGACGTTATGAACAACTGAGAAGGACAACACAATAACCAAATCAAAAAGTTCGATTCAGGAAGCTAATTGCAAAAATTAAATTAGGTAATACAGCGACTGCAAACATGGGATTATGAACAGAATAGTACAATCGTTCCCACCTTTCAAACTGATTGCCATGTTTTTCAAACGAGACAACATTATTCCTCCTTTAGGATGATCTGCCAATATCAATGTGTATGTCGCTAAGGAAGTAGCGTAGGCGTTTAGAATAGTATCATCAAGTTTTCCCAGAATACAATCCAGAGCGTTTGATACCATCGTCGTCTGAAAAAGGATAATTATTTATTGTAGTTTTTTTTTCATTTCTTGCAAATTTTGTGACATCCAGACGCATGACGATGTGAATATTATTGAGAGAGCCTGAAGTGCTACACAAGTATCCTAAAGCAAGGAGGTGTACCTTTGTTAAGAACAATTCTAAAATAATATATGAAATATTTAAAAAAACCAAATCATTATAGTATTTTTTTCATTTCTTGCAAATTTTGTGATATCCAGACGCATAATGTGAATATTATTGCCGACTAAGTAGTATTTCACAAAAGATTATCTTTCTTTCTTCGTATGGCATACACGTGCATGCTTACCACGTACCAATATTAATCAAAATTTTATTTCAATCTATCGGCCGCATCAAAGAGCCAATAAAATGGGCCTAATCAAATCTTGGTAATACTTTGGAGACACCTACGTTTTTAAAGCCAGCTTCCAATAAGGCGATTGTGGTGTAGGCTGTTATGATAAGTTCACGATGCACCCCACCCTAAAATTTAATAAATTAGAAGATACGGAACTTTGGGAACAAACTAAGCCAGCCTTATTCCGCATTAAACTTAGTTCAATGAGTTATTGATCATGTTAAACACGCATAGTCGGAAAACATGTTCGTGATTAAATAAAATAATCATAATCATTATTCCCGCTGAGTGCCTCAAATATCAATTTCCGTACCTGAAGTGATCGATCAAAAACCTGACCATTTACTGGGAAACAACCCGACGATTTTTGCTTTTGCTTCAACCATCCAACGCTTTGTTTGATTTCATCTTCGTCAACGAACACATGCCTCCGCGCTCGTGCATATAAACGAATTAGGAATGCCGTTATCCTATACATAATATTTTTTTTCATTTAGCAAATATTTGTAACAACCGCAAAGTATGAAGACTGATTCCACACGCAACAATTCTAAATTTTACACGTACGAGTAATTTAATATAACATAATGAACACCAACTAAAAAATAAAAATCATAATACATATACATGGAGCAGAAATAAAAAAAAGAGGTTGAACATGGTTGGCATAAAAATTAAATACAAAGTTAATTTGGAAGAGGCTGGACTTACATCCCACTTCCTTTCCTGTCTCTGGATCCAAATGCACTGTATTCACCTTCTCCTCGTCTGTATCTTAATTCCTTCTGGTATCCTGTTTAATATTGTCACAGAAAAAAATAAAATGAGATTTGCTCTCCGCTGTGTAATTTATTTCAATGTGATTGAAACAAGGCAGTTCTATATTTTCAGCCCCCAATCTCGAAACTTTTAGCGTTTTGCTCATGTCGCTTTCTCACTGTCTCACAACTTCGTCCTTCACTAATCATATTATTTTTCAAATTTTTGCATATTTCCAATCAAAATTTAAAAATAAACAAAGGATTTTGGGCTTTTGACGTGCGGGTTTTACTGATATTATAATTAATATGTTAACATTGAAGGGATTAATGTCTTTAATAAACATGATTTGCCAAGATAGCTGATAGCTCACAAAACTAAAATAATAATTTTACTATCTGATTTGGTAGCATTTAAACAAGGTTTTAGAGTCTAGAGGTTTAAAGGGTCTTAATTTCGAGAGGATTTATACACATTTCAAATTCAAGTCTGGAACGTTGTCAAAAATTAACTATAGGTCCTCCGGCAGGAATCAAACATGTACGAAATACCTATTTACTCTCTCTCTCTCATCTCCATTAAGAAAAAGAAGAAGCTAAGTTCCATTTTAATACCTGTGGTTATATATCTTAGCGCGTCCTCTTTAGTCTTCTTTGTTATTTGATTTGTTGCCGTAAGGTAATCCAAAATATAAATGTTCGGCGCAAATTTAGCCAAGTTTTGTTCCCCGCAACCACCTGGCATGCTCAACAACCCATCAAAATTTGCCAGAGCCGGGCCCATTATGTCACCTAAGTGAAAAGTTACACCAAGGTTATACATTATATAATATACAAATAATAGATAACGTTCAAGAGAAATCTTGTTCAAGTCAAAATATGGTTAAAACTATGGGTCCAAATAGTAACGATAACAGTAAAACTGAAAAAGGTTTTCATAACAGTTTTCCCAGGATATATTTCTTTAGGCACAAATCTATCCGTGACTTGTTATCAAGAATGCCCGGTAGCATCGCTAAGTACGCAATTTGCATCTTTAGCCCTTTCGGTTTACCATTCTGATAGATTGAAAAAATGCGCAAGACAATGTCCCTAGCTCCGTTGTGACAACATAAAAACGTTGAAGAAATGATTAAAGTAAAACATGATTCTTCCATGAGGGAGTTTTGTCGGGATGGGGCCTCGCTTGCCAAATTTACAAGCTAGGTCTCTTATAGATAGTAATTCCGCTGTTGCAACAAGCACGAGGGGTGTTTGCCAAAAACCAGGAACCCAATGTTGGTGTGAATTACTGCATTTAAAATGATCTTTTAATAATGACCTATTATTTACGAACGTCTTTAAACAGCTGAAGTTTTTATTCAAAAAGGTTACATTTGTCTATATTTATACATATATCTATTGCATGGTCACACACGTACTATACTGCTTACCAACAATCGATATTTTTGGTAGTACTGATCCTGGAACGACATCAGTCGGCAAAGGTAATTCGATTGCCTCGCCATAATTCCCTGTCAAATTTAAACGTTGTGAAATTCAGCAGAAATACCGCAAGTGAAAACACACGAATTTTATGTTCATCGTTCGTCGTGCATGCCCAAGAATCAACGTTAGAATTAACACTTGACGTGTTGTAGTTTCAAAGAAATTGCTTGAAATGGATTAAAAAAATTTGAATTAAAATTTAGTCGCGAAATATATTCTTCCACAATAGCCCAAACAGATCAACCACTGGCTTAAAGTGCACAAAAACTCACTGGATTGTTTTAATGTTGTGTCGATTTAAAGAAATTATAACGTCGCCTTTAACTATAACGGAAAACTATAACGGAAATTATAACGAAATTATAACGTTATTATTCGTTTCTGCTATTTCTTTGCTCTATTGTATGCTGTGTATATACGCAAATTTTTGCTATTATTTCGAAAAGGTTACCGCAATGAAATCAACTTGCCCCCCAAAATAATTTGCTGATTTCAAATATTAATACAGGAAGAACATGTTAGGTGGAAACATATACCTTGTTCAGAAGAGCAAAAGAAGGTCCCTTTGTTATATTGTTGTTTTATTCCTTCCGGCTAGAGTATAAAAGAAAATGCATTAGAATACGCACTGTTTCTATGTGTGAAATGACATATCGGTAGCCAAATGAAACAAAGTAACAAAATAAATAACGTGTACTATTTTCTTGCATTTACAATGGATCCAATCATGATTTTCAGTTAAATTTCTTCAGTCTAAATTATCTTATAATAATATCCTATATATAAACGTTATCCTTAGGTGTTTATGCATATGTTCATATCTGCACGTGATCAGGCTTGTTTTGGACATTTTGAATTGGGCATAATTGATGAAAGCTGTAGTCTCATTTTTTAAAAATCGGTGTCTTTCTAGGAACGAATTGCAAATTTGTCGCTTGCTTCGAGCACATTTTCGACCGCCGGTTGCGTAAAACCCTTCAGTCAATTTTTGGTAGTCATATTTAAGGGGACGATTCTGTTTGGTAAATTCTACTCCTAAAACCATAGCTAGTTGTAGAATACTATAGTTAGTAGTAGAATACTATATTTAGTAGTAGAATACTATATAGTTAATAGTAGAACTGACTAACTTTTCATACAACTGGCTTCATGAAGGTGATGTAGGCTATAATTACGCAAACATATCTCAAAAATGTTGTTAAATATCTGTAACAATATAAAGCAACAGTACCTCCACCAGCAAGTTTCTGGTAACCGTATCAGTCGCATACAAAGTCGGGGGAGGACAAAGCTTTGCTGAAGATGTTGTGGCTTTAACCGTAATCGGTACATGGCCAATATTTTTAAGTATAATTTCATACTGTGTTGATTTTCCGCTATCCGCACACACGCACAACTTTTTGATATGAAAAGAAGTCACTTTATAATCTCTTGTCTTGCGACTTAATTCAAGCTTTACCTGAAAATGGATGGTTTTGACAAATCAAGCAATATTCATAAATTATTGCCAAGATATTATAAAAAACCATTGACACGGAACTACTCACTGGAATACAGGAGGACATGTAGTTAACTACAGTCACTGTGATGGGTATTCTTTCCCCACGGATTACAGAATATGGCATCGTCAAGTGAACAAAGAAAGGTTGGAATGCTTTCAATGTTGCTTGATTTGAGATCCCCATTCCGTACAAAGATGACATTGCAAACCCATTTGCAACCCAACTTTTGATGTTATCAGGAACTTGCACTTCCATGGTTTGTATTACGGACGAGTCACTATAAAGAACAAGAAGCAGTATATGTTATTTATAATATAAAATTTATAGAACGCGGTGCTTTTTGTTAAAGAAGCATGTTTCTATAACTGTATAGCAACGGGACTTTTCCCGCTGAACTTGACAAGCGAAGGGACGTAATGAAAATTTTCAATTGAATCGAATTATAATATTTGTATAAAATCTTTTTATTGAGTTATATTGTATAAGAAATCGAAAACATTTTTTCCTGTGTTTCTATAAGTTATAGAAACACTTGTGGGAGTTTGGGAGAAATCGAGATAACGTGAAAAAACTCGTCCTATACGGGCTCGTTTTCCCACTCATTGTTTCTCGTTCTTCCAAACTTCCACGCGTTGTTGTATAACTGTATAGAACCACGGAAAATGTTTTGTGTTACTTAATATACATACATATAAACTCGAAGAAACTTACCATGCAAGTTTAAACTTTTTGCCACACATGCACCCTGTATATGAATTCACTTACTTGAGCTTGAAGTCTGCCCAAAGCCAGGTCTCTGGAAAGAACTTACGAATCTTTTTTTGCTTGCCCAAAATTGTGTTCTTTATTCCAATTTTGACGTCGTCATGTTGTTCTAAAATTGATCTTTTCCAAAATCTTCGATCTGTATGAAGAAAAGGAAAATAGTTCGCCACAATGCACAACAAATAAAGTTTTTACATACACAATAGAATTCCTTTTTTTTAAGGGCTAGCTTGATAACATTCAGCTTCGCTTATTCATAGCTATATAATGCTCATATTTAAGCTTAAAATAATGCTGTGCGATTAGTAAATAGAAACCAAAAATAATTCCCCGAATCGTTAGGGAAAACCTAATATGCAAATTTTCATGCCTAGAAATCGCGGACATGTATTCTTGAGTTCCGCAAAATTTAAAAAAATCATTCAATATTTACCATTTTTCTGA